TTCAAAGGCCGTTGTGGAGATGTGTTTTTCCTGATAAACAAGAAAATTAAAACAATTACTTTGCATAAAGATTTATTTATCTCTTCTGTTCTTGTGAATCTTACTTGAGAGTAACTTCAGATTATTGATTCTGATTATTCAGTGCCTACTAGTGACCTAAATTAGGGGTGATTGATTTTAGCACTTGAATGGTGTTTATAGGTTAATGGTATGGGCATTAGGGGGTTTTCTAAAAACAAAATGTAGTAATCCATAGCCTGAGCTGTTTAAAGTCTCATTCAGAAACAATAGAGAGGGGTAAACAGAGGTCAAAGCTGACACTAACATGAAGTATTTTTATATTGGGTGCAGAATTAAATTTTATTTCCAGATTTCCTTATGTTTTTTTCCCTTGAAAACCCCAAGATTACTCTTTTGCTATTTACAGATGAATAAACCTATTTTTAGCCTACTAAATCTGGACAAATGCAAAATGTGGTTACAAAACAAGCATTTAATACACAGCTTGTATTTGTTCAGTTGATTTTTATTTTTATTTTTTTTATGTAGGTAGAGAATTCTGCTTTCAAGTCTCAATCTCAAGCCTTGTTTGTAGGGAACAGTTTAGTACAGGTGTACAAATCGCTACCAATTGGCAGGTATAAAAGGCCTTTGAATTTTTCAGCAAATAAAAATATTGGATGTGACACAGAGGGGTGAGAAGCTTCCTGAAAGCTTAATTAATGTGATGGCAATGTTCTTTTTAACCTACTGTTGGTTACACCTGTGGTACTTACAACGCTAGAATTTCTGTGGAATAAATACCCCTGTACCAGTATGGAAGGTGTCATGGATCTGCTGCAGAAATGTTAGAATGCTTTTTGTGCACTACACTGGCAGTTTTGAGATGAGTCTGTCTTCAGTTCCTCTGGCACTGGAAGCTGCAGTAAGTAGGTATTTTGGTTGACCTTTTGGCATAGTCTGAAAAACTGACTGTAGAAGACCAAAGTGGTCACTTCTACAAAGTAAGATGATGAACCTCTGTTGCTCAGAGCATTGCTTTTTGTGGAGGGAGTGTATCAACTGACTGGTTTGCATACAAAGGTTAAACTTTCATGATCTGCATAGTTGTCTCCTCACTTTTACTCAAGGCAGGATATTAAGTCCAACTACAGAGTTTCTGTCATTGTATTTGTTTTAATATTGTTTGGAAGAACCCATGAACTGATCGGCATGAGGTCAAAACTGGAGGAGCCAAACTTCTTGAGAAAAGTAATATCATTGCAAAGGCTGGATAGGAGGACACATTACTTATAATTTACATGAAGCCCCGGGCAGGACTGTCACTACTAAAACGTACATAAAAGCTTCTGTAAAAGTCAGGCATCATCAAGGTGAACTAGTAATTAAGGTATAAAAGAAAACACAAAAAGAAAGCTGGCTAGTTGTTTGGAGTTTTTTCCCCATGTGGCAGTATCTTCTGCATAATTTTATGTTTCACTTAAATAAATTATATAAATAGCATGAAAATAGTGTATGTTTATAAAGAAAGCCTTTTAAAATGCTTTCAGTGTGCTGTTGAAGTTAATTCCAATGATTTTATAATGTATTGATTTATGTGAATCATGAAATGGGAAAAGAGCAGCTTTTGAAATGTTCATAAAATGAGCTAACACAAATAGTACTGTTTGTGTTACATTATAACGACAGCGTGTGCTGCCTTAATGCACTTTATATCAGAAAAAGTTGTTCTAGCCTTGTATATGTATGGGGCAGGTGACATAAGACTTACGCCATTCTCCCCTGATTTTTTTTTTTTACTTTATTGGCATATTTCAGTAACTTGCCTTTATTGCCACTCTTGAACAATTAGGTCAGACAAAATTACTATCTGCAGGTAAATGAAAAATGTGAAGTAGAGAAAGAAATCGTCTGCTCAGTTTAAGTTTTCATTTTGAAAAGCTGAAACAGTAAAAGCATCTGCATCAGTCCCCTCAGCAAAGGCTTCTGTACTAAGGCCTTTCCTGTGGTTCATGTTCTTTGTGTGGTACCAGCTGGTTTAAGGCATTGCATCAGATTACTTTGGAAATAATTACACAAACAAAATAACAGACTTAAGGAAATAAATTGCAGGAGGAGGTGCAGTACTTCTTTAAAGAAATTATTAATAATTTATTTCTTATATATATATATATATAAGAATAAAGGTAGCTGTATTCTCCACAATATTTTGGTGCCAATATTGGCATTATTTTAACTTCTGGAATGGAAGTGAATCCTTGTTTTATGGAGCTTTTCCTTGGAAAGAAACTGAAGATAATATAGGGTGGAAATCATATGAAGGAAACGAATATTTCTTTCCTTTACTGTATGCTCTTTAGTAGTTACCATGATGAGATTTTGAGTCATTGGTGGCAGAGGGCCATCTTCCTTGATTGAACTTTGAATTTTAAGTGTCCAAACATAGATGTATCTTGAATATGAGCATCATGACTTTTGAGCCTGAATGTGCTGTAGTTTGCGGGCTGTGAAAGCCGGAACCAAAATGTATAAACAGTTTAAGTGTACTCTGTTAATGAAATGTTCCTTTTTTTTAATTGTAAAGCTCCATATAGTCAGCCAGATACCCTGAGTGCAGAGTAAGATGTGAAGGCAGAAGATGTCTTTGTGTCCTGCTATTAAAATGTGAGGGTGGGTCAGGGAAAGGCGCTAACTTACAGTTGTTTCAAGTTTAATAGGTCCTGGCAGTTGTTTTGACTGTAGTCTGGGCAAAAGCATCTGTATTACTTGCTGCTGTGTAATGGTTCATTGGGGGCTGGAAGGATAAACTGCGAATTTTTGTTAGTCCTTTAATTTAAAAAGTGGGCAAAATAGTAAGTGTGTGTGTGGGGAATTTTAACATTGAAAACATTAAAAATATAGAAATAGTATCTTAAGTGCTGTTTCAGGTAACATTTATGTATATAGCATAAGTAATTCCTTGAAACAGACGTTTTCTCTTTTGAGTGTTTTTAGCTTGGTTTCTATGGCAGTGAAGCCTGTGCAGAGTGTCAGTCTGCTTCTTCCCCTGTCTCTAAAAATAACTTCTAAATTTACCAGCCAGTATAAGCCAAAATTAAATGGGAAGGGGGAGGCTCAAAGGTAGTTGGATTCCTGCTGGTTTCCAGCAAACTGGTGACTGCTCAGAGGAAAGTCAGTGCCCTGTGAAGACAAGGCCGAGTTGTGATAAGACAAAAGGATGTAACCACTGCTGTCTGCCTTGCTGGCACAGGCACAATTTCCAGTTTTCCGGGCAAGTTTTGCTGTGGTTGTGGGGTTTTGTTGTTTTGGTTTGGTTTTTACCCCAGTGGACTCCAAGATGAGCTGAAGTTGCTACCTTTAGGAGAGAACAGGGCACTTGAGTGAGAACTGTTAAGCTGGTGTATATTAATGGAACTACCTGTGTGTTAATTCCAACTGTAAACACTAAAGCTGCTTAATCCATTTCTTGTGATCTTTACAATGGGATATTCTGTAAGAAGCCACATTTTTAACTTGCTGCGTTAGGATAACCTTGATGCCTTTCAGAATTTTCAAAAGGTCTGTACAGTAAAAGACAGGATTGAAGTGGAGGGCAGAAGGAGAGGAAGAATGGAGTTAACAGACAGAAATCCATTAACTAGGCTTTACTTCCCATACTCACAGACCAGATCACTGTGGTGGGTTTGCCAAAGCAACCCACACATCCGAAATGAGGGTGGGTTTACCAGCCATTAGTGTACAAGTACAGCAGCAATGTTCTGCTGTCTCTGCTACTCAGTTGACCGTTCTATTTGAAAGTGGTTTGATTTTGGCCATATCCTTTGCAATGCTAGATATTTTCTTGTGTGTGATTGTACTTAATTTAGAACCATAACATTGATAGCTCTGAAGATGTTTTTCTGACCTGCTCAACCTTTCTAGTGTTTTGTATTTTCACTTGCTTTCTGTGTCCCTAAATATATTAGGTTATTTTGAAGTGGTTTTGTGTTCTTTGGTCTTAACTGCTCTAAATGGCTATACGTATTTCTCGTGTCACTATTTCTTCTGGAAATTGATTAGCCATTGCATGACCTGATTGCTCAGTACCCAGAACTCCTCAATAGCCCCTATCGGTTCCACTGAAGGTGACATCTTCTTAATGATGTATGTGTGTGCATTGTGCTTCTGTTCATATATATGCTTACATATGTGTATGCATATATGCATAGTTTAGAGATAAACCCTTTAATCTTTAAACTGTAGCTCTTTGAATACTGTGCTTGGAGGGAGTCCTGAAAAAGACAAAAAATTCTTTAGCAAGTAGCTTTATTACTCAGTCTAATTTGACACACTTAAAGAGGAGAGTGTCATAGAAGCCATATAAAAATTACATAAAGTTGTCCTATTGCTAACTTCTTTTGAAGCATTTTCTGTTTTCTTGTACTGTCTTTTCAGTTTTCCTGCCTACTATTTCAATGTTTTCTATGCATGTAATTGTTGCTGTTATCCTTACTATTTTGTTATTCATTTTGCTTTAAAGGTTCTTGATAAAACTTCTTGTGGCAGTTGAGTAACAGGAGTCTTTTCTTTTTTTCTCCATTTATTCACTGCTTCCTTTGTCATGAGGTTGTGCCTTTTCTTTGGGCTGTTGGAGACTTAACAGCAGGCAACATCAATACACATTTTATGAACATATTTTAGAAAAAAATGCAGGGGTGTTAAAATACTAACATAATAGAAAGTATTTTATAGGCAGCATTTTTCCATGTAGTAAACGTTAAGCCCCCCAGATTTTGAAGACACTGAAATCACTGGTGAGAAGATATTTAGTTGGGGGTGGAAGTGGGAAGGGAGGTGGGAAAGTTAAGATAATCTTAAATTGTTTACTTAAAGGGATTTAACTGGGCTACTTAAAGTAGTCACCTGCTGTTTTGTAAATGTTTGTTTTTTGAAGAGTAAGCTTCTCCCCTTTTGAAGATGTTTCTGCACATACTGTGTTGTCATGGAAAGTATTCCCTGAATATGTCTGAAATTTGTGTGTTTTTCTTCTAAGCTCCACAATGAGGATGACCCCCCAGAGCCTTCAGCAGCTGAGCAGCCCTCCACGTCTACAACAGAGACTGTGCAGACACCCCAGACAGCAGCCTTATCTGAAGCAGATACTTCCCCTCCACCGTACTGTAGCATAGCTGTAGAAGCAGCTGCAACCTCAGGTATTTTTTTACATAGGAGCTTGTCAGGGAGGAGTGTGTATGAATCAGAGCTTGGTTCAAAGTGGTATGATGCTGCGGTATGGTTTTTGGTGGGGTGTTTTCTTTTTTTCCCTATATTCACACAGTTGCAGCAAAAAGCTCTGCTTTCATGCACAGTCCTTTGTCCGGTTATTTCAAAAGAAGCACACTACTAAATTACGGTGATTGTTCCAAATTAGTAGGCTAAATGGATGTTCATTAATTAATGTAATAGGTTTTATTTAAGTCTGCAAGTAGTTCAGTTCCACATTTAATCTACATCTTTGATTAGTGGTCCATTATTAGACCTCAGTAGCAATTACCATCAAAACCCCAAACCAGCAAAGCACTGAATTGTCAAAACTCAAACTTTCTAAGTGCATGCCATCGGTTGTTGAAAATATTGCAATGAAAAGATTCATTTTGCTTTAAAGGTTCTTGATAAAACTTCTTGTGGAAAATGAGTAACAGGAGTTTTTCTCCATTTATTTACCGCTTCCTTTGTCATGAGGTTGAGACTTTACAGCACGCAACATCAAAGTCCCTGTTCAGGAAAATTGCTTAAATTTGCCTCTCCCATGTGCCAGATAAATATTTTAGAAGTAATCGTCAAGGTAATTTTTTTCATGTTGATTAAAGAAGCAATTTCCTACCCCTGTTCTTTGAGACAGTGTTTGCAAGTTTAAAGCATAGCTGTGCAGAACTATTTCTATATATAATGTCCTTGTGTTGGTGTGCTGACAAATCTTTTACGAAATGACCTCTGCTGACATATCTTTATCATGTAAGCAGTCTTGTTACAGACTACTGCTAGTTGTAGGAGAAAGCTCAAGGTGTATTTTAAATAGTTTTTATATTTTGTTAATAATTCTATTCTCTGTGATGATGTTCTCCTATTTCAATATATAAGAATGAATTCTGTGGTCCATTTTGATAAAAGGAGCTTTTCTAAAAGAGTGTGGTGAAATTGAAATCTTGGAAAAACTGTTTTTTCACAGAACTGGAGTTACTAACAAAGCCATTTTTATACAGCATGATTATTACTGGACTTAAGTAACTAGTTGATGTTGACAATTGAAAGCATTTTCTAGGATATTTCTGTGCATGTCTTTTATATGATTTGGTAAAAAGCCGTCAGTTGGAATGCCTAGGGATGTAACTCAGATAATATGATTTCTTTTTTCCATAAATTTGTTGGCTCCTTCCAGCATCTAGGTTAAGGTTTGTGCCTTAACCTAGCAACTAAAAGCACCATAAAACCATTCACTATTTTATTTCATTAAAATTTGGTTTTTTTTTTAATTTACAGTAACTTGAAATACAAATCTCAATTTCAGCCTCTGTTGAAAAATTTGTTAAAGCTCAGTAATTATGGGCATATAAAATTTAATATTCTTGACATCTTTCTGGCTTAAAAATGCATTACTTCTTTATTTTGAACAGAAACACACAATGAATTTTATCCTGTACCACCTCCATACAGTGTAGCTACCTCTCTTCCTACTTACGACGAAGCAGAGAAGGCCAAAGCTGCAGCAATGGCTGCTGCTGCAGCAGAAGTTGCCCAGCGAGTAAGTGATAAAGTTCTGCTTTATTTCAGTTTTGTGAAACGTTAGGCTAATCTATTTCTAACAAATAACCTATTTATTAAAATAATAGTTGGCTGGTGATTTAAATGTTTTGGATGCTTAAGTTTTGTATAGATAGTGCAAATTAGTTGTAAAGTGTTATGAAAAGTGTATAGTTTCACTCCTTTCTGAGGCATAGCTGGTGTCTAAACAGCTTTAAAAGCCAATTTTTTCCCTCGTTTTAATACTTTGTCCAGTATTTCATCATCTTTTAAGTAGTCATTGCTAATGTTACTTTGTTGACTTATTGCTCATATTTCGGGTTTCAGATGTTAAAAAAAAAAAAAGCCAAAAACTAAACAAAAACAAACAAAAAAATCCCTCCACAAACCAAAACCACCCCGAATTAGAAAGGAAGGAGAAGTATAACAGTCTGGGAGGGGCAAAGCCCCAGATAATGTAGATCTTCTTAAAAGGATCCATAAAGGCATTGACACTGAAGTTCAGAGAAATGTTCCAAGTACTTAAAAAACCCAACACCCTCCCCCCCACATGCTATGAATTACACTAAACACTAAATTAAGTAATAGGTATATATTCAGTGTTTATAGTTTTGTAAGAATGAACATTATAAAGAATACAGTTTTCAAAATAGAAAATCGATATTGCAGTTAGTGGCAAACATTAGCTTTGTAGGCAAAGTTCTTCCCTTTTTTCTCCCAAGTTTTGGAATGTGGAAATCCTGCTGTTTGGTAGTACTGGATATAATGTACTACACCCAAATTAGGCATCCAGTGCTTTCACTAAAATTCTCCACCTTGAGATCAAATGTGACTGCATTTGAGATGCATTTAAAATCTTATTGATTACAGTGTGCTTGTGACTGTCGAAAAAAATTCTGCTCGCTCAGTGGGAGGCTGTTCCTTCCTTGGCTGCTGTGCAGTAATCACAGTGCCCAGCAGTCACTGTAAGGTATGCGCAGCTAAAGTTAAATTGGATTTGTGTATCATCGTCAGTGAAGGCAAATGTGTTTACTAAATGCAGTAGGGAACCAGAGACATTTAAATGGTTACTTGCCAAGTTTCTGCTATGAGGTAATGATATCCAAATGTAACCTTTTAACTGTTTTAATAGGAGCATGGGTTCTGTGTAGTCTGTCTTTACTGCTTATCATATAAAAAACTCTGCTGAAATGCTGGTCTGAATGGAACATTTAACCTGAAATGATAAACCTTGAAACTTACTTGGAACATAGCAACCTAAACCTTAACTTCAAGGGCACCATTACCAGTCCTGTGATGCTTCAGACAGGTCATGTGCAACTCCCTCGCAAGATTCTTGTTGCTTTAAACTTTGTGCATCTAGAACCCTATGAGATGGAAGTCTCAGACATGCAAGCAGTCTTCCTTGACCTGAATTTCATGGGGAAAACCAAAATCAAGGACAATTTGAAAAAAAAAACAAAACAAACCAAAAAAGGACAGTAACTGAACCTCTACAGTTTGTGTTGTGGGACGACAATCTGGGTTTGGTTGTGCAAGAAGGCAACTGGCTCAAAGTGAATGCAGAGGACAGAGAGGATGGGTGTAAGTCAAAATAAGAAAAGACAAAGGTGAACGGAGAGCAATGTTATGAAGGGAGTGCATAGAGATTTAAATGGGAAGCGGGAGAGAGGGGACTGCGACTGGTGGAGAAAGAAACCCAAGTGGGGACAAAATGGGTTACTTGCTGGGAAAGGAGCTGAAACTGGTATGTGAGAAAAGAGATTTAGGGAAGGAGGGGAATGTGGAGTTAAGAGAGTTGAATATGGTGACAAAGTGAGAAATAAACTTTTTTATGATCTGCTTTTCCAAAACGTGGTAGAACTTGACATCCAAGTACTAGGTGCTGACACCACACGGATTTTGCTCACTTGAGAAAAATCAGTGGGAACACACCGTCATTCCCCCAAAGCAGAGGTTGGCTAAGAAGTTACAGACTTACGGCAGTACTAAGTTAGTATCAAAAGTCCACTCAGTGTACCAAACAGCCACATCTGGCTGGCAGCTAAAGATCTCAAGTTTGAGAGAGTTTCTGCTCAGTTTGCTTCTGTGGATTTTTTTTTTTTTTTGTTGTTGTTGCTGTTGTTTTTTGTGGTTTTTTTTTAAGCACATGGATGCACACACATAAATTGTAGTAAAGAAATAGAATTGTAGTTAAGGTTGCAAAGCTGAGATTTGGGAAAAAAGAAACGCTGAAGTTGAGTTCCAGTTTCATAAATGATATTAAAATTATGTGCCAACATAGTTTTAATTAATGCCATTTTAATTACCGTACTACATGATGCTGCCATAAAATCTCTGCCTTATTTAATTCCTCTGATGGAGGAATCCACTAGGGTGGATTAAGGCTGTGTAGACTGTCTTCATCTGGCAGATGACTGGATTAAAAAAAGGGTCATATTATGGTTAGAGCGGTGTTTTGCCATCTTGAGCAGAAGAATTTTGATCCTTAGCTCTGAATACCTGTGGAGGAGCAGTTAAGTGACTTAAACTTTGCCCTACTGGTATGCAGTTGATTGTTTTCTCACTTTCATTGTCATGATGATCACAAGCAGTGACAGCTGCAGGCAGTATCTGACTTGTATGTTATGTACATTGCAAAACATAAAGTTTATAATATTTTGAGTTTTTATTTTCAGCCTCTTGAAACCATTGCTCTTAAGAATGTGAACTCTGCTGTGCTTACCTCTTCACTACAATAATGTGAACAGCTGGAAAAGGTTAATTGTCCTTATGTTACCTTGAGTAATACATGAAGCTGATAATTGTTTCATGGTATAATCCAAAGTGTGCAGTAAAGAAGGCAAAAACCTCATTGAGCAAAAGAGAGGAAAATGATATAAAAAGGCAGATGTTTAATAAACAGCATTCTTTTTTTTTTTTTCCTCTTGGATCAAGTAGGGATCTTAAAAAGCATCAATGTGATCATATTAAAGATATATCTTCATCATATTACAGATTGTATGAACAATCTAAACTTAACATTTACCAAAACTTCTAGTACTTGTTTTTGTAGTTCTTTGTGTAGCTTGTCTTACAAGAATAGATTGTATATAAGCATTTATTTCAAATGCTCCCAGGTAGCTCAGTGCATCAAAGAAATTGTAGCAGTCTTATGTCATCAGTTAGTTACCTTGGCTTTCGGTGTTTTCCTTCAAATTCTCAAGGTCAGTTATGAAAGGTCAGTTAACATGGGCAAAAGTATTGCTAACAGTTAAAGGACTTGTCTGTATGTTTCAATGGATGGCTTTTACTTAATGCTTTTCAGTTGCATTTGTCTTATGTTTCTCTGTTTTTACATGCTTAGCACACCCAGTTTAGGGAGTCTAGGAGTCTGTTTGATTCCTCAATCGTCCAGAGGTATGGTATAGTTCTCTCTAGTTTAGACTTAACTATGAATTTTTCTGCTGGCAAACAAATGCTTCTGGGTTTCATTGTGCCTTTCCCCCACCACTATTAAATCTATATTGTTTTGTATGCTGAATGGGGTTTATTGAGTAATTTGACCCTTTCCTCACAAGTTTTTCTCTGTAAATCCACTCCATTGAAAAGAGTTATGTCAGTCTAGTTATCCCAGGGGTTCCTGAAAACTTGGGTTCTTTACTTAATTAAAAATAGTTTTGTCTCACTGTACACCATGCTAGGTTTCAATTTGAAAGAAGTTAAAAAGCATTTGAGGGAAAAGAGAGTCCTCTTTTTTTTCAGAATACTACAGGGAGAGCACTATAGTTTCAGAAGAGTTAATAGGTGTGACTTCAGGAGATGATGTGTATCATTTGATGTTCTTTTCCTTAGAGCAGTTACTCTGTGTGACATGCCATTTATGTTGATAATGTATTTTCATGTTTTGATCTTTCTCTGGTCATAGAAACAGCAAGTTTTCTTTTTATACAGATCTCAGCATATTTAGCAAATAAGAAATACTGTCTATGATCCTTAACCTGGCTAAATTTGTCAAAAATCAATAGGAGGTACTGAAACAATATCATGTATTTTATGAATTTGTGTTTTGTTATATGACATTCTTCTAATTAAAAAGAAATATAAAGATATAATTATTCTTATTGATAAAAATATCCCTAATAAAATTATTGCAATGGAATTGCACTTAGTTCTGAGCATCAGCAGAGAGGGCAGTCATTCTTCACTGTCTGTTTTCCTCTATGAATGGTGGCAAACAGTTATATTTTGAAGAAAGACTGGGGCAGTTGACACCAGCTAGATCATATGAGAGCACTGTGAAAGGCAATATTAGAGACGCTTGAGCAGTGGCCAGTTAGTGTCTTCAATCTACAAGGACTGATCATAAAACGATATAATACTAAATCATATAGGTAGAGGTTGAACAGGGTTTAAGCGCAGGAAACAATTTATGATACTTTTCATATGCCAGTTTTTGGAGACAGTAAATAGAACTCAGTTTAATACAATTTCCTTTTGACGTGGACTGTGATAAATTACAACTTGCTCACACTTACTACGCTAGTGCCTACTTGCAAATGTCTGCTCTCATGTCTGTGGGATGTACATTGACCTGTATTCCTCACATGTGTAAGCCTTAAAGAAACCTGTGCATATAGAGAAACCTGCTAAACTTGTTACTGTAGTTAAGCAAAATTTTCTGAAGCAACATTTTGCATAGAGCATAGTTCACTAATTGGTTTTGAAATGCCAGTATGAACAGTTCAGTAGTTAGCAGTAAAAAAAAAAACCAAAAATTATTTTAAATGGAGTTACGGGTTTTCACAGACCTTCTGAAGTTGAAATTCAGTATTTTTTTGTTGTTGTCCTGACTTGAAAAAGGAATGTTTGTGACGTATTTTAGAGATAAGCACATTAAAATGCAGCTTTTTGTTTAATGCATATTCAGCTCCCCCTTTTCTGCCCCCTCTTCCTGCACCCCGGCTTGTAGCTGCAGCAGCGTTTGATTAAATAAACTAATGCTTTCATAGTGACTTAAGATGACCGTTTAGGGAGATCTGGAATTATGTGGAGTTGAATTATAGCCCCTCAAGATTGTTGTTCAGCTAGCTTTTTGTGCTTTCCTTGGAATTGTGTATGTTAATAGCAGTATTTTTAAAGTAAGTTATCCAGTACAGAGTCTTGGCTAATTAGTCTGAAGTAAGAGCACAGCTGGAATTTCACGGCACGTTACGAAGTTGGCTGCCTTGAGTTGGTATAGCTCGTTCTAGCATAATTGCTATACCCTGGTAAATTATTTTGCTGTGTTGACAAAGGTGAACATGTCAGTTATACGACAGAGCTTTAGATCACTGTGACTGTTTAATGCCCATTTAGTTACGAGCTTAATATACAGGGCGTCTCTGCCCATGGCAGGGGGGTTGAAGCTAGGTGATCTTATGGTTCTTTCCAACCATAACCATTCTATGATTCTATGATAACATTTGCCATAGTGACTAAATAATGTGTTAAAATCAGAGTTACATCATTTCAGTAGTAATTGTTTGTGATGGGTAAAATAACTAGATAAATCTCACGTGAACTGATTTCCCTTGATTTGATTTTTATTAATATGACATTTCTTAATTCTCATACATTATGATTTATTGGAGAAAAACAGGAAAAGAATGTTACTCAGGAATGTTACTCAAGGTTTGTTTTGTTGTTTTTTGGGTTTCTTTTTTAAAGACCAGATTACTGCTGCTACTGACAGTATTACTTAATTTGTATTGTCCTACATTGTTTTGATGTTCTTCATTTAAGCATAAAGATGGTGTGTTTCACTGGTTTTACAGTTTCCATCAAGCTCTCTTTAGTAGGTGCTGTCATTATGAAAACCTTTACATTTGCCAGTTTGCAGTTGCAGCGATCTATAGCTATACATGTAACTGCATACCTAAGATCTGCCAAGTTCTTTTGAAAAAACAAGTACTGAGAAGCATAAACCCCTCATACTGTCAGTATTTTAAGATCTAGTATTTTGACATGATGGGTGAAATCTCTGGATCGTTTTGACTGACATCTTTGTTTGCTTTTGTTTGACCTTAACTCAAAAAGTGCACTGTACTTTAGAAGACTTTTAAATGCTTTCAATCTTTTCGCGCCCTCTAGTGTCCCTAGAGGTTTTCTTTTTTTTTGCCTTTTTGTTTTTGTTTTTTTTTTTTTGTGTGTGTGTGTGTTACAGGATAGTCAAATTGTTTGGTGCAGCGCTGTTGCATCAGCAGTTTATTTTAAGATACTAGCCTTACTCTGTATTTTGGGAAACATTAAAAGACTTTTCTGGCAGGAAAAAAATAAAACTTCCTATGCAGTGACTTAAAAAAAAAAAAAAATAGTTTGGCTGCATGTAAAGATAGCTACAGTAAGAAGAGGTTTCTTTTGGTTTTGATTGTCAAAGTGCACATATGAAATAATTTCTAGCTTAATTTGAAAATGAATAGGCAATATGTACATATCTTCTACAGAAGCATATACAGAAAAATTTGGCTCTGATAAACAACAAATAAGACTTGTTTTATCAATACGAATTATTTTTCCTTTAAACTTTCTTGATGTGGATGTGTTACAGAAATGTCAGTTTTCTTCTTTTAGCTTTAGAAACATAATTAATACTTTAATCCTACAGATAGTTATTCTAAAATAAACTTTTCACTAAATTATCACTAACCTGTAAATCCAGGAAGAAGAGTATCCACCGCGGGATGATTTCAGTGATGCAGATCAGCTTAGAGTGGGCAATGATGGCATCTTCATGTTGGCATTTTTCAGTAAGTTATCTTGTATCCCAGACCTACTGAGGTATATCTTAATTGTACCTTTTTTTCTATGGAATGTGAAAGATAGCTGCGATAAATTGCATTAATGTACTGTAATGAATGGATTTATTTTTTACCTGTACACATATATAAATGCTTCCTGTTCCAGATTTAGCAAATATATTGCACTTTTTTTTCTGTGGTATCTGCCACAGATAAGGGAAGAAAGTAAAATCATATAAATGTTTTGAGGCATACCAAGGCTGCACTGTTACCTGTGAGTTGGAGATTTCTTGCATCTTCTATTTGGACTACCAATTAAGCCGTTAAACTCTGGTTCACAGAAATCTGGTAATTGATTTTTTGAGGGGGGGGGGGGGGGGCGGGGGAAGAGATGTGCCATATAAAGTTGCTGGTGCTAGTGTAGAGAATTAAGTAGCTGTGGGTGGATATTTGGAACAAATCCAGCCATGCCCATTTTCAGGTTGAACTAACCACTGTCATATGAAAATGTCTTTGGTAATGTCAGATTACAACCAGCACTACATATAACACTTCTTCAGGTACCGTGTGTGCACTGTGCATGTTTTGTAAGTTATGTACTGCATTGAGCAAAGTTAAATTTAGCTGCTGTGAGTTGCTTCTAGAAAGAAGCTGCTTCTGTTTTGCTAATTGCGTATTTCTTCCTAATTTCTGAGGATATTTTCCCTTTCTGAAATAAATGTGTTTGGCAACTTGGATGGAAGCCAGGGATGGTGTCAGGGATGTAGCTTTTAAGTATTCATCAGAATGAAAGCTGATTGAGATGCACTGAAATCTCCTTTATGTCCTTCAGCATAGATCTCGCCTTAGTTCTTCTTTCTTTATTGTCTTTCACAGCCTCTTTATTTAACTGTTACAGGTGCAGGTTACAGAACTTTAGCAGAATCCTTTTTTTCATATTGGCCTATGATGTACTGGGACAACGGGTGTTTGCATCCTTGGATAAAAATATGTGTCTACCTCTCATAACAAATATATAAATACATGTATAGGGTAACAAATGAGTTCTGTAGTTTGACTTCTTTGTGTAGTTGGAGCATAGAAAGTGGATATATTCTTGTGTCAAAGGCAGGTATGGCTTCATTTCTTTTTCCCTTTTTTCACCGTCCCTATGTGCTATAACTTTCTGTGTTTAACCTATTTAGGTTCTGCATTAGCACTGTGCTTGGAGGTCAGGTGCGTTGTTGGCTCTAACGTGTTTTAAGTTCATAAAATCAGTTTTCCAAAACTATGTGTGCAAAACATTGTGTCCACCTTCAAGAGTGCAGGCATTTACTTGGATAAACTGATAACTTTCTCTTCAAATAGCTGTTTAGCTGAGACTATGCAGAGCACTGCTCTTACACATTTAACAAAATACTTTGTAGATCATATTTTTTTTATTATTCTGAAATTGTTACTGCAAACTTTGCTTGCCTATGAATGAAATGTATAAAATGAGTGCTTACACATTGTAAGATACTTATGCAGGTGTGTGTGTAATTGGGATCTGTGTTATCTGCTGTGAGAAAATGTACTTGTTTGTGTTCATGGTATGAGTTCACAAAAAAACGGAGCACTTAGCTGTACTACTAATTTTTAGTAGCTTCTCATAGGGAAACTTCAGAACTAACTGAAAAATGAAGTTAACTTCACTAGGGTAGATCGTAACTAATGGGTGATATATTCCTGTCTCTCTAATAAAGGAGATCTTCTCCTCTAATAAGGAGATAAAAGCCTTTGTCAAGTTGATGTATGTAAAATTAAGAGAGCAAGAATTAAAATGAAATTTACAGTATGCTATCTTTTGGGTTGCTTTTTCATGGTGGGATATGTTTAAATGCTGCAAGTAGAAGTGGCACATCACAGATAGCCTAGAGTAAGCTCCCTTAGTTAAAGTGCAGGAGAACAGTGTCAGAAACTGTTGTCTAGTGAGAAAAGCGTGGAATGAATGACTTGTTCCAGATGTGCTCTCCCACCTCCTCCTGTGAGTGACTGTTATGTATAGTATTGGTAGAAAGATTTTGGGGGGAGGGCTGGCAGGGGCAGGCTGCCTTTGTTTTAAATATAGTGAAGTTAGCATTTTTCAATTACATTTTATTCAGTTGAAGTATAATAAAATAAAACTTTTTGCTGAGCTTACCTGTATATTGCAGCCTGGTCTAATGGGAAGTGCCCCTGCCGATGGCAGGGGTGTTGGAACTAGATGACCTGTAAGGTCCTTTCTAACCCAAACTATTCTATGAGTCTGTTGCATGAACTCGTGATATGTAGCTACCATCTAGTGGTAGCTGCCCAACTTGCATAAAATTGCTGTCTTGAGGCCATCTAGTGGCCACGTGTGTTTGTTTGGGGGTTTTGTTTGCGTTAGGAGCTGCGTGCATGAGAGTTACAAACATATTTCCCATCTAAGTTATAAAGTACTGTTCTGTTGAGCATAACTAAATACAATGAGCCAATATAAGGAATCAAAAGTCCTTCATATGAAGAAGTGGAGTTTTTCCTTTAGCATTTGATTCAGAAACTTCAGAAAAGATTAGAAAACAACCTATTTTATTTCTTATATATGGTAAAATCACATATTTAAGAAATTGGTGTTGCTCATGAAATCCGTGATTATGTTGATAAGCAAAGAATCTGCTCTGTAATGGTCAGGGCTGCTGCCTGTCCATTTCTGATTTTGAGGTAAATGAATATATTCATTAGTTAATATATCAGTGACTATATTAATTTTGCATTGAATGTGAAATGCAGCAAATATTGCTATTGGATAACTTAATATGTTTTTCTATTATGTATGTTTAGCTCTGCTGTGCTTTATACAGCATAGTAGACTCTTTCCAGAATGTCAGAGGAATTTGTCAATAGGCGAGTTTCTCAGAATGATTTTTTGATTGATATGCACAACAAAAAGGAGGAAATTCTGTGCTTTTTCTTCATTTTGAACATGGCTATAATTGTGATAAAGCAAGTAATTCGTGACTCAAAGGGTTTGATTTTCATGCTGAATCTGCCTGTAGTGGAAGTCATCTGATTGTCTTATCCTGGTTCATTATGTGAAAGAGGTTTTCTGTGTAGTGATAAAAAGTATGGTTTTCCCTTAAACATAAGGAGAGCTTGAGAAATATCAACCAGCTTTTTCACCTGTGGGTCCCAGAAGGAATTACAGGCCTCATCTGGATTCTCTGAAACCATGGAAAGGAGTTTTGGGTTGTCCTTACAACTTGGAAATAATGGATATTAGTTTGAACCTCATAGGTTAATAAGGAGGAAGAAGTGGATAAAAGTGCTTGATGATATAGCCAAAGTTTAAGTTATCATACAGAGATCTGATTTGTTCTCTTTGAACAACATCTGGACAATTTAAACACTATATACAACTCTCACCAATAAATCTCATGATGTGGAAAAAAATGTACATACTATCTTAGATGCTGTATTAGAACATACAATAGCCATATGAAAATTTCATAAATGTTCATACAGTTTTCAAAGCTATAAGATTCTTTAAACAGTCAGTAAACTGCACACAAGTTAGGATACCCACTTAGGGGGTTTCAAGCAGGCACAAGTTGGAAGGCAGAGTTGTAGCACAGGCTCAGGGTTAGCACAGCCTTGGTTGTATGCTTCCTCAGGAGTGGTAAGCATGGTCTAAATTTCTGGTGGGTGGGTCCTTCTTGCAGATGTAGGAAACCTGACTTCTGTATATCCACATCACGAATGTTATGCAGGTTTCCCTCAGTCATGTAGGAGAAGGGGAAGGGAAGTAATTTGAAATTGCAAATGGTGGTAGGAGATGAAGGAGCTGGTTTGGGCATGCTTTTTTCCCTTTGGTTATCAGGGGTGCCTGGCTGACTTTCGTACACAATCACTTAACATTTCTTAACGTAGAAAAAATTTTACTTGCGTGGTTGCTCTGTACATATTGAATATAATGCAAAATAATTGGAACAAGGAAGCTTCTAGATGGGCATTAAGAAGAGGTTACCAACAAGGGTAATGGAGCAGTAGAAATAAATTGCCTAGGGAAGGTTTTGAACATTCATCACAGAGTAGAAAAAAAAATTCTTGGAAGTTGATAGCAAATGCTTCTAGTGATCATCTTCAGACTTAAGGTGAGCTCTTCAGAAAGGAGCAAAAAATGTGTACCACTTTAAAAATGGAGTAAATTCTTTGAAGAAATGGAAAGAATAATTTCTAGTGGTGCATGATGTGTAAGTATTAGTTTATTGCCGTATGTTTAGTAAACCTAGGCCAGGTAGGAAATACTAAGCTCTTTGGTGTTTGGTGTATATTAAAATAATAAGTCATTGGACAAGCAAACTGGGGAATAAAGGATGTAACTTCGCATGCTTGCTTTTATATATATATATATATATATAGTTGCCATTATAAGCTTATCACAGGCTGATCACAGCCACTGTTAAAATTTGGAACCAACCTTAATCTTCAGTTTTATTGGCTTCTTTTCATGATACTGGATATAAACTTAAAACAGGTGATTAATGTGTAGCTGTGGAAAGCTAAGTAAAACAAATCAGTAAATGAAGTGCAACAGCAGTTGAGGAAAACAGATTTGTTTTAGTATGCTTGTCATTATTGTTACATCTTCTGATGTATTGCAATATGTATTTCTTAAAACCTTGCACAAGATTGCTTAATAACTTGGCAAACTAAGGGATTTTTGTTTACTGTACATTGTGGGAGTGTAATGAAAGGATGTGTCTATATTGCTTTGCAACTGAATGAGAACTGACAAAAAGCTAGCATGGATTAATAAATTATTAATGACTAAGTACAGCTTTCTACATAATCTTTGCCTTAACTCTGCAGTTATTTGAGAATGAAGAATGGCAATGGCTTGTCAAAACCAAGTAGAATTATTTTACTCCAGCTTCTTTGGAATTGCTGTTAGACAAAAGACTTCTGATTTCTAACTTTAATTTTTGATATGAAAAATCCAATGCTGGTTGCTGCCCCTTCGAAGAGGGCATTTGCTGTGTATATAGCTGATGGATAGCCTCATTTTGCATATCGGGTTTAGAACATCCCATGCTTTGTATTTTGGCTGGGATTATTTTACTGCAAAATATAAGGAGAAATACAAGTACAGTGTAGTTGTTGTGAGTGCTATGTTGTCTATCAGGAAGACTTTATTAAAAAAGACCCTTTAGTCCAACCCTCCTTCTCCCAAAAAGCAACTTCGTATCTGTTTTTCACTGAGTTGTGTTGTTACAAGGCAGTAACACTAGTGGTTATGTTCTCTTTATGTGAATTACATTAATATAGACCTACTTTCTCCTCTTGCTGTCTTCAGGAATGTATAAACTCAAAAATCTTATGTTTTTCAGTACCACTTGTCTGTATGGTGTTAGAATAGCAAAGAAAGATACCAAAATCATGATGTCAGTGGCAGTCACTGTGAGTTTCATCTAAATGTGTGAAACTTTTGAAAGAAAAGAGGACAATAGTTGAAAGCTGGGCTGAAATATGAATCTAAATGCTAGCGATCTCTGGCATAGGAAATGATTGTTGTTACAGAGAGTTTAGTCTTGCAATAGGAGTCCAGAAGATGAACACAGAACCCGGCTGCACGGACAGGATGGTCAAACTAAAGTTAAGAATGCTTTTTTATTGTAAACAAGAATTGGAGTTGGGACCGGTCTTGTTCAGCATCTTTGTCGGTGACATGGACAGTGGGATTGAGTGCGTCCTCAGCAAATTTGCCAATGATACCAAGCTGTGTGGTTCGGGTGATACCCTGGAGGGAAGGAATGCCATCCAGAGGGACCTTGACACGCTTGTGAGGTGGGCTGATGCCAGCCTTATGAAGTTTAACCATGCCACGTGCAAGGTCCTACACCTGGGTCGGAGCAATCCCAGGCAGAGCTGCAGGTTGGGCAGAGAAGAGATTCAGAACAGCCCTCCGGAGAAGGACTTGAGGGTGCTGGTCGATGAGAAAATGAACATGAGCCGCAGTGTGCGCTTGCAGCCCAGAAAGCCAACCGTATCCTGGGCTGCATCAAAAGGAGTGTGACCAGCAGGTCGAAGGAGGTGATCCTGCCCCTCTACTCTCGTGAGACCTCACCTGGAGTATTGTGTGCAGTTCTGGTGTCCTCAACATAAAAAGGACATGGAACTGTTGGAACAAGTCCAGAGGAGGGCCATGAGGATGATCATGGGACTGGAGCACCTCCTGTATGAAGACAGGCTGAGGAAGTTGGGGCTGTTCAGCCTGGAGAAGAGAAGGCTGCATGGAGACCTCATAGCAGCCTTGCAGTATCTGAAGGGGGCCTATAGGGATGCTGGGGAGGGACTCTTCATTAGGGACTGTAGTGATAGGACAAGGGGTGATGGGTTCAAACTTAAACAGGGGAAGTTTAGATTGGATATAAGGAAGAAGTTCTTTACTGTGAGGGTGGTGAGGCACTGGAATGGGCTGCCCAGGGGAAGTTGTGAATGCTCCATCCCTGGTGATGTTCAAGGCCAGGTTGGACAGAGCCTTGGGTGACATGGTTTAGTGTGAGGTGTCCCTGCCCACGGCAGGGGGGTTGGAACTAGATGATCCTCAGGTCCTTTCCAGCCCTAACTATTCTATGATAATAATGTGATTGTAGCAGCTTGTTTGTCTTTCTATCTCACTTTTAGGTATGGCTTTCTTCTTCATGAAAGCCTGTATTAGTGTCAGACCAGGAGCATTGTCTGTATGAGAATGTTATGGGAAGCTGAAGTCTTATGAAGGACGAGGTCATCTCTTTAACTCCTGAGCAATGCCATTTATATTTCATAAAGTGAGTGGATGCATACAAATAGTGGATGTTGATACTTCTAGAGAAGATAGTAGATACTTTCTCTTACTAGTCTCTCCCCCCCCCCCCCCCATGCTATTTTTAACCTTAGCTTGATGGAGAAACTTGTTGTGAACAGTGTTGGAACATGCCAACGCCTTTTCTTTCAAGAGTTGGGCAAATAATTCAGTGTTAAACGTCCATCTAATACTTCTGCAGTGACTGTAGATTCTATTTTGAATATTCCTTTAGAGGAAGGGTAAAACTGCAATTGTGTTCAACTTTGATTCCCCCTCCTATAGTTATGATGGGGAAATCTATTTTTATATTATGTATAAAAATATATATTATATATAATAACTTTTTTCATATATATATAACTATTTTTTAAGTATTCTGGCAATTCCATTAGTTTGCATAGTCCATTAGAAACATGTCTGTTTTCTGTATTTTTTAGCATGCCTGTTACTGGAGTCATAAAGTCACTTTTCATAGCTTGGCATAGTGGGGAGAAAGGGGGAGAGCGGTAGCTGTTATGCTGAGACAAGAACAGATATGAAATAAAGAATGGCTTCTGAAATACTACTCTTAAAAGGATGGTGGATTTTGAGAGCTTGCTTGAGATAGTGAAATCCTGTGTTAAAAAGAATTTATCAAATATATTACTTGTATTTTGGAAAGATAGGTAAATGTTAGGGTCACCGTGTCATTCTGTAGTTCTTACATGAGCAGCATTGTCTAGTGGAAGGTCCCCTTCCCATGGCAGGGGGTTTGGAACTAGATGATCATTAAGGCCCATTACAACCCAGACTGTTGTATGATTCTATTATATGCCAAATTTGATCAGCATTTATTCAAAGTTGTTTGCTGTGGGCCTTTGTTGTTGTCGGGTTGTTTTTTGGGGGCATTGTTTTTTGTTAAGATTAGTAACTAGGATAAAAGAAGGCTTTCTCATTGCCACGATCTGTTACTATTGGCTCTGTCTAAAGTAAGACGTTTTCTCACTTCTACAAAATGACTGTGTTGATGTAAGCTCTTCCAAAACCTTTCCTGAAAGTTTTATTTCTTTACAGTTCATGGAATCCCACTGCAGTTTTACAGACAAATTTTGCGTTGGTGGGCAAATCATTACATCTTCATGTGGATTGCTGAAGGAATTATAACAAGGTTTTAAATTAAGAAAAAGAGGTGGTTTATAGATAATCCTCCGAAATTTACTTAAGAAACCTCTTGATCAGTTTTCTGTTCCTAATGTTTTGCTGTAAGTGTTCAAACTTTTAGTGAAAAGACAAACTATTTTTTTATATGGTGATTTAATGCCTGAATTTGATGTGGGTTTTGTTTTTTCCCTGATCTGGGGGCTTGAAAACATTCAGGATTTGTGTGCAGGGGTTTTTTCCTCTGCCACCCTTCCATTCCTCCTTGCCTCGTCAGTGTTTTTTGTGTTTACTGTGGGCTTCCCTAATGTTTTCAGTTTTCCACTAACTTGCCCTTTCCAGAGCTCTTGAATTGTTGTCTTCTCCCAGTGCTTTTGTTTGGAGCAGGGTGTGTGTCTCTGTGTGTGGGGTGTGTGTGTGTGTTTATTTCTAGTTGCCCTCACCTACTTCCAAAGCTGGGATATCACTAGAGTTGGGAATTCCCGTACTTTGACCTAGTGCACGCAGACTGAAGTCAATACACATGATCTTGTTGACTGGCAAGTACATATGAAACTTTAACTTGTAAAACTACTGGGAGTATAAAAGTGTTAATTGAAGGAACGGTGGTAGTCCTGCTAAATGTCCTTTTTTGTTTCTTGATTTCTTAAGCTTCTGTGTAAAATTTCCAGGGCTTCTTATGTCTTATGCTTAAATATAGATCTAAAAGAGAAGACAGTAACCAATGAACCATCAGCTTCTCAACTTACCTTAATTTCTGTACTATGTTTACAGAGCAAGAGCGGATACTTTTATTCTGTTCGATCCAAACTGGATAAAGCTGAATATGCAGCCTTGATACATGCACGTATGTGTGCATATAACTATATTTTTGGTTATAAAAATGTAGCAAGGTTTTTTTTGTTTTAATCCAAGTCTTTTATGTTACAGTCCTTTGTTTGCATTTACCCTTCATGTCTACTGTCAACTGGTTAGATTTTTGTAGCAGTGTAATATTTCCTTTTATGTTGGAATTTTCTCTTGTTTAAAGTAGTAGGTTCCAGCCTGTTTACCATTTGCTTTGTTATTAAGTGACTATACCATGGGGGATGTCTGGGTTCAAAGTCAGTCTCTCCAAGCCTGAATTACCGGAAGGGAATTACTGACTGTGTAAGCATGTCCTTATTAGTTTAAAAGTAAAATTAATGTTAAGTCTGTTTGCTTAGCTATACAGGTTAACAGAAGCTACTGTTTTTCTTTTATTTTATAGTGGCGTTTATTTTCAACTGGATTGGATTTTGTTTATCCTTCTGTATAACAAATACCATAGCTGGAAGGTATGGTGCAATCTGTGGATTTGGTCTCTCCCTGATCAAATGGATTCTCATTGTTCGGGTATGTTTCATGATTCACGCTGTACAGACTCTGTTTGTAGAACAAAACCATAACAGTTTATTCAGGGATATATAATAATTCCAGTATATTCCAGTGCTTAACAGAGTGCCTAGAATTTTGCCAAATTCTACTTTAGCAGAAAATTTACTTCTTTATATTCATATATGCTTACTAAAGATGAAGTTAATCTATTTTTATCTGCATTTTAAATTCATGTTTCCACTAAAATAAAATGCAGAATGACTCATTCTTTGCATAACTACTTAAGGCCTACAGAAGAAGTGGAGCAAGTACCTAAAATGTCACTGTTATTTTGGTGTTCTGTATGAAAGATTTATAAATAACTTATCTGGGGGAGGGAGCAGTTCAGAAAAAAAATGTCTTCCTTGTATCTGATTCTTTTATTCCTTGTAAGATGCATACAGAATCAAGTCAAAATTGAATATTAACTTTGTTACATTTTTACCATCCAAGATGCTGAGTTTCTGATATTTTCACTGAAAGACTAGATGCTTTTCAGAAAGGTAGGTTAGCCAGATGGAAGTTACTTAGCATGATTATGTGAATGCTAGATGAATCACAATGATTCTTTCTGAACTTCAAGTCTATATGTCTGTGAGTCACATAATTTAAAAACTCTTCCTGTTTGATGAAGAAAGAAATCTTGGATCACTTAGTTGTTACAGTGAAGATTTATGACATTCCTGTGTTGTCTCTCTTTCTAGAGACACTAGCAGAAAGCTCATAAAGGTGTGTAACAACAATTTTGTTTTTATGGTGATACACAAGCACGCGTGTGTGCACAAAATCGTTCTGTTCCTTTGTTTCAAGCTCCTCCAAAGGCTTGTGCTACCCTTTCTCACTCAGGATCAGTAGTACAAAACTTTATCGTGTTTAAGCAGCCTGAGTTCATATATGCTCTCTGTGCCAGTTTTTACTTTGGGGTGGGGTGTAGAGCTGGGGAGAGAGCAAAAGCACAGTTTTGCCCTCAGGAAGGTTTTGCAGCTGTGGCTGCTTCTGCCTAAAGGAAGTGTAGGAGTAATGCACATGTGCCAGTGTTGGATTGCTGGTTTTAGTAAATCTTCTTTCCAGTTAAATAAAATTACAACTTTAAAAAAAAAAGCATATTGGGATATTGTTGTGGTTTAAACCCTAGCCAGACAGCTTGTTCACTCACTGCCAGTGAGTGGTCCTGGGCTGAGAGCAATCGAGGGCACACCCTCCGCCCCGGGGCTCTCCCCTTCCCCGCTCCCCTGGGGCATGGGGAGGAGGATTGAATGAGTGCAACTCCCACGGGTTGAGACAAGAACAGTCCAGCAACCAATGTACAACACAAATCACCCTGCTACCACCAACGATAACCATGATAAGAGAAAATAACAAGGGCAGAGAAACAATACCACTGGCCAAGAAACGAGTTCCACCTGGAAGCCCCTGTCCTTCCGGGTAACTCTCAGTTACCTCCTGGGCATGATGTGCTGTGGTATGGAATACCTCTTTGGCTAGCTTAGGTCAGGTGTCCTGTTTCTGCTTCCTCCCGGCTTCCCCTCCTCCCTGGCAGAGCATGAGGCTCACAAAGTCCTTGGCCAAACCAAAACATCATTGTTATCAGCTCTGTTCCCGAGCTGAATGTCAAAACACAGCACTGCGCCAGCTACCAAGAAGGAGAAAAATGACTGCTACTGCTGAACCCAGAACAGATATATGTTTAGTGAATTCAAACTACTGGCTATCAAGCCAGATGGGATTAATAATGTTGTCAACTTCCTGGGAATTGAGTATTCATTTAATACTGTAATGAAGAGTCAAAATTAAAATGCTTACTCTGCTAAATATAGAAGTGCCAGTATTTATATAGGGATAATGCAAGTACCAATTTTTCAGTTCAACTTGGGAATTCTGTTTCTTGCTACTTTTTTTTTCTTGGATTGCTCATATAAATGAAAACACTGCAAGATTAAACCTCTAAAGAATTCACATGATCTGGCAAAAACATGTGGATCTTGGTGCACAGTTACTTGAAATAAAATCAAGCTATACCTAGAGTTCTCTAAATGTCTTGGATTTTTATCTGGTTGCATGTGTGGCCCAGTCTCTTCTCTCTCTCCTTCTCTTTTTTTTTTTCTTTTCTCTCTCTTTTATTTAAACTGAATTACATGCCTTGATTACTTGATTTCTTGGTTGATACTACTGTAATGTCCTAGAAATGGCAAACGGGAAGCACTGTGGCAGGATGCAGTAAATATACTGAGTGATAGCAGGACAGGAAGCATATGAAAAGTGTGCAAAGCTATTAAATAGTTATTTTATTCCTTTTGGCAAGTTTTCACACATCTCCCCATTTCTACTTCTTATGTGAGTTTTGGAGACATTTGATTAGCCTTTTTATCAGTGAAGCATGCAGTCTGGAGTCTGGTAAAGGCACAGATACCTGTCTCCAATGCCATCACACCCTGCCCTCCAGCTGCCTCCCACATCACAGGGAGGACAAAACTGTCTACCATGGTCACTAACAGGAACAGTTGAAATGCCACTTCAAGGTTCATTTAGTTGCGTTCAGCTCACTGCTGGGAACTGAATGCTGGTTTGAAAATGAAAAGACTTTAATGAGTTGGGGGTCTTTATGGGGCTGGTATTCTTGGCAGCTATTAACAGTAGGGGGTATACAGAAGGTCAAAAGCTCTTCTTTTGAGGGGTCAGCAGAACATCCCTGTCTGATAAGATTAAACTAATGTGGCTTTTCGTGTTAATATCTAAAGCAGCAGGCTGCTGTAATGTGTTTGGGATGCAGGCACTGGGGAGAAAAAAGGAAAACAACAAGTGGTGATTCATTATAGTAGAAAATGTCAGATTACTCTGGCCAGTAATACAAAATTTTTAATACATGTATATACGCATACTTTTTTTAGAAGTTTTAAAATGACTGCCACAGACCAGCTGACACTGGAAGTGTTACTTGTATGTTAAATTGCTGCAGAAATACCAGTTTTGCATTTTAGTTGAATATATTACTTGTATTTAAATTTGCTTTTTCCTCTGTGCTTCCTGTATTTGCATAATGCATTAAATATGTCTTAATCATATCTCATACTGCAGCTAAGCTTTGTGTATGAATTTCAGTTTTCAGATTATTTTACTGGATATTTCAATGGGCAGTACTGGCTCTGGTGGATATTTCTTGTACTTGGTAAGTGGTGGTTGAAAACATTTGTGTTTTGATGTAGAGGTATTTAAAGATGAATCATGTCATTGTAAGTAAGAGTTCTGTATCATCATGTTTAGCTACGTGCTTTTCTGAAGCTGCTGATAGTTTTGTGTGTTACTTTTATTTCCATAGTATTCACGAGGTTATTGGTTACCATAGTGGTGTTATTGTGTGAACTGCGGAGTATTCAAATAACCTACAGCTCAAAAATTTTTTTGTTCATATGTAATTATGAGCATAGCTGAGACTTGTAGTTTGTGCTTTTTAAGCTTCTTCTACTGCTCTGGGGTTGCAGAACTGTATAATGAAACTTCAGCTTCATGTAGAGAACATATTAAAAAGTGAGTGATCTCTAATACTTGCATGTATAAACCTGAATGGCAAATATTCAATATTAAGAAACGTGACTGATCCTACGAAGGCAGTCTGCTGACTTGTACCTAAGTCACAAAATGTCCTTTTCTAGTCCTTTGAAATGCATACTGTGTCAGTAGTTTCTCAGCCAGACAAGAGAATGGCTTCATGCTTCCTGATCACAGTGCTCCTGTCATGTCAGCTTTCTTCTAAGAGGTCTGTCTGCCCATGTTCTTATATACCTCAAAATCTGCTCTTCTGTCTGTTTTTACTTAGGATATACCAAACCCCAACCACTGTACCTTTTTTTTTACTGTGGATTTTATAATTTGAATATGGAATCTGGAGTAAATTTGTTTCACAGAAGTGAATGCTATCCATTTTATTTTCTAGCTCTGAAGCATAGTTCAGTAGGTGGCACTCTTTCCTTTGAGTCAGTTGACTCGTGGCTAGCAGCAAATGTTAGAATAAAATGTTGAGTAAATTTAAAAAACAAACTAAGAAAAAAACCTGACATAATGTTTGTGACTCGCTATTTATCTCACAAGAAATGCCTGAAATCTTAAACTATGTTTAAAACTTTCTCTGTCTGCCCTTTAGTAAAGTTCAAGGGCATTCATCAGACTTCGTGATACTCAGCTTGCTGTACCGTTGTGCACAGTTTGACACATTACAGCATCAGTCCCTTGAATGCTTTCATACTCTGAGGTGATTGTATTTAAGTCAGAGGTGAAATAACTCTTCAGGTACAAACCTTCTGATGCCTGAGATTGAGATTTGACACTTTTTTCACTTGGATGAAAATAGTGTGTTCTTCCCCTAACATTTTCCTCCACTGTGTCTGTGGCAAAACCTGTGCATTTGTAATTCCTCTTTCTACTGTCTTTTGCATCACTTTTTCAGAAGGTAGCTCTCTTAGATTTGGGAAAGCCTTATTTTCAGTCTTAACTGAAGATTTTTTTATTTATTTTTAGTTTAGTTTAACTCACAAATTTGTAATATATCATGGAATAAAAGGCATTGTGAGGCATGCAGTATGCATCCAACAGTCGAAGTTCGCTTCTCTTCCAAATGTTTTGCGTGGAAAATAAAGCCAGCAGTGTTTTTAAACTGATAAAATTGATATAACGAGATTGCTAGAACACCATAGAAGGATTTAACCCAACAGAGCTACTTAGCACTGCTACTTAGCTACTTAGCACTGCTACTTAGCTACTTAGCATTGCCAGCCAGATCTGTATTTCGTTGTTTCGGGTAACTTTCCCATTAGAGTACACAAAGTAGCATGTCCTGTGTCTTTTTAGAGGTGAATTAATTGAGTTGGATTCTTTCCTTTTCGTAGTCCTTTGACATACTTGAGCCCACCTATTGCCATCTTCTCCTCTCTTCTGTCAGCATCTGGAAAAATCTGCTTGTACTTCATGGCATAGTGAAGTGGTCTGCTTCCAAGGAGCTGTCATGTACAGTTAATAAATTGGAGAGAGACAATTCTAACTTTAAAATTTAAACATTAGCCAGTGTTTCTTTTGAGGAGCACAATGGAAAATGGGGTGGTGTTTTTGTGTTGTTGTTGGTTTTGTTTTTTGTTGTTTTTTTTTCTCCCAACTACAGAAATATAAAATATAGGTTGAACTTGGACTGGTTTTCCAATGTGTGTAATGCAGAAAATATGCTTTCAAGTACTGTTAAGAGCTGCCTACCCACCTTATGCTGTTTCAGCTGCTTTTCAGTTGGACATGGGACTATCTCCGGTAGCATTGGGGTAGCAGCTTTTGTAACAGACTTTTGATGGAGATCTTGCTGCTGTCTTCTCCAGACAGAATTCACTTTAATCACAGAAATTTGTTTTGCTTAGATCAAAGTTCCAGTGATTAGCACACTGTTTTGTGTTTGTTGGGGTTTATTAGTTTGTTTTGGTTTGGGGAGGGTTGTTTGTTTGTTTTCATTTGCATGTCTGTTTTAATGAGGCTTTGGTTTAAAAAAAAAAACCCAAAAGGTTAAAAAAAAAAGCACAAAAATCATTTAGGGATGAAATGATTATAGGAAAAAGTCAGTGTCTCAGCCACTGAGCAGCAGGAACAAAAAGTGCATCAGGTAAGAAAATATCAGTGTAACCAAAGAGATTGCTTATTAAGATGCAAGAGAAAAGGATGAAATCTTTTGCTAAATTTGTTAAGTTTAGCTTTTCATTTGAACATTGGAATATTAATACATAGGTGTATGTATCCATATAATCATGTATGTGTTCATTAAAGGAGGAGAATTGCTCTATAGGCTCATGTTTCTCTCCACTGGATGAGGAATTCATATCTCAGCCTCCCACTCTTTGGGAGGATTATTTTATCTCTGTTGAATTCTTCCTGATCCAGCTGATGAATGGATTGTTCTGAAGTTTACGTAGTCGCGGAAAATGGACCAGAGAGCTGCATCTGCTATGCAACAATGTGTTTTTCTAGGTTTGTTCACGTGTCCAGTGAATCTCTGAATTGGTAAAATGATGCTGACAGCATCATGTTAGTGAGTCCCATTGTTGCAGCTGTAACTTCTGTGTGACTATTCTGTATCTATTGTTCCTCTCATCAGAATGGAAATATTCTTTCAAATTAAGTTTTAAATATTTAAAAATAATTTGAAATGTGGAGTTGACAAAAAAATGTAATCATAAAGTGTTTAGTAATTTTCTTTGAATTGACTGTTGTTCTTCCTCTTCTTGAACAGGTACATTTTCCTCACCAGTTAAATCTCAAGCCATAATCTATCCTAATTTGTTACTGGCTTGTTGCTACAGCAATCTGTACTGTCTGTTTTGGTTTTGTTTTTCTCTCCCCCTCCTTTGACTTTCAAAACCTTTATCTTAAACATTTTAAAGATATGTTTTGTGGTTTGGGTATTCTAACACACTGGTAACTTGTTTTAAAAGTTCTACTTGAAAAGAATGTGCAACATCTATTCTTTTTTCCCCCTCATTCTTTTGAAGTATTTTCATGAGTCTTTTTAGCAGATGATACCCTTATGTCAGAAGATAAAAGCAGGAGACTTGCCTGTTGAATTTGTGAATGATTCATAGAGACCTTGCTTTACTTTGTATAGTCTAGATTTTTAATGACTTAAATAAGAATACTGTGAGAGTGTGTACTTAGATTGATATTCTTCATTTTGTGGATTTTCTACATTTTTAGGACTCCTCCTGTTCTTTCGAGGCTTTGTTAATTATCTCAAAGTCAGAAATATGTCTGAAAGCATGGCAGCTGCTCACAGAACAAGATTCTTTTTCTTGTACTAAAGGTAAGCAATTTTTAGTGGTAATATTGTCTCTCCCAGGAAAACAATAACGAAATAATAAATAATCAAACTTCTGTCACCTAACAGAAGTTGCATGGCTTTTGAACATCTGTCATGAATGTCGTATATATTCTACATGGACTTGGAAATATCTGCAGTCTCTTAAAGTCATGGAATTTTAAAGTAAATAGAGCATCCTCATTGCCTCCAGTTCTCCCTGGAACTAACATTCAGTAACAAAACTGAAGAGGAAACTTGTTTTTCCTAAGCAAGAAACAGTATCTGCTGCCTGCCAGAATACTGTCCTTTGTCTTGAAACACTAGCTTTAGTAGTCAGCCTTTTGTCAGCAAGTTGGGAAGTGCTAATCTGCCTGCATATTAAATCTGATTGACATGGTTCTGAACATGCAAACAATAGATGAGTTTTTACAGGACTGGATTAAGACAGTTGTATACAAGTATGATTACTGTGAATGCAACAGTGTGCTTCATATATTCTTTAGGTAGCTGACTAATCAGTTTGGCACATACCCGCTCAATTTTTTTCTTCTTTTTTAATACTTTTTATCCTGTAGCTGGACGTATTGGACGTCACTATGTCATTATGTCATTTAAACCAGGGGTCTCCATCTGTGTTCAGCTTTATTTAAGTTGCATGACAAAATAAATTTAAGGCTGGAAATTAGTATTGTAGCATTTACATTACTCTGCACTCTACTTAAAATGTTTAAATACTGCATTTTGGCTTAACTGAGAAGCTATGTTTGCTGTAATAAAGCAGGTTTTCATAGCTTTTCTCCAATATTGCTCACAGGATTGATACGAAGTAACCAGAAACACATTATTGAAGCCTGAAAAAAATTTGAGATGCTATTTGGCTAGAAAAAAATCTCCTTTTATATAAGACAGTGATATTTTAAAACAGCTGATGGTAAATATCTATGCTATACAGTATAGTTCTTGATAATAGAAGAAGTCTCTTAATGTAACTGTAACATAGTATTTATTTCTAATGTGCTGTTTGGTCAAAATCATACAATAAGTTAAAGTTAAATAACTGGGACTTAAAATGCCTTTTAGTTGCCAATTTAGGTTGGTTACTACATGGCAGCATTTCCTATTTACAGTAGTTACGTATTCCTCCTTTTCCTTGTAATGTGGTAACCTCTTTAGAATACCAAAATTTTAGTGACTAGATGGAAAATGTCTGTTAGCTTTCAGTACAGTAAAACTTAAAAGTACTATCTAAAAAGCAATTGTTAGGACTAATTGGTATTTGAAAATTGTAGCTTGAAGACAATGAGAGTATAGGATAATGAGGTGTGTGACTCTGCTCTCCTGCGGTTACAATTCTGCTTTGGGACTAAACACTATCTAATTCAGCATTATTTGAAGTTAATGAGTTGTTCTGTCTGAGTTCAGTGTCTTTGAATTTTTTCTTTACCTGTAAGCGTCACTGAGATGTATGGGCTGATAAGGTCTGTGGAGGGTTGACAGAGCTGGACACACAAATACTACTCTTTTTTGAGGCATCTTTAAGTGTTGAAACAAGAAGTTCAGATCAATTGCTGTCACACTTAGATATCCTTGTTCTTGCATAGACAGGTAACTTCCTCTACAGTGACTGTTATTTTTAATAAATAACAAATATTACCTCTACATGTACAAAATATTTTCAGGTGCTCTTTTGAAATGACAAAAAAACAACAGGTATTGCTTTTTCTTAACTCTGACAATGAGGAGGGGAAACAGGCTGCTGCTTTGCTGCTTCTAGGTTTAACATCAGTTAGCAATGCTCCTTGTAGTGAATCACTGCAATGAACTGAAGTACAGCTCTTTCTTTATCTTCAGACTGCATCGAACAGACATTCCTTTCCTATACCAGTGTGAAGCTTCCAGATGATCTATAACCCTGCAAGTTAATAGGATAGAAGACTACTAAAACCAGAAGACAAATTAGGGAAGATACGGCTTCAAAAACAAATGACGGGATTGTTTATGCTCAAATACCAGTTCTGGTCATTCTAGTAAATATTTATAATTGCTGCCTTTTGTTTTAGCACATTTGTATATGTGCTTATTAAAAAGTACTCAAGTAAGAACAAACCATCTGTTACTATAGATTAGGTACAGTCAAACTTGGTTGATCTGTGCTTGTTGTGTCTGAAAGATTTAAGTGGTAACTTGTTTCACAGCGTCTATGTACCACTGACTTATTGATCTGAATGTTGAATACAATGAAATGCATTAAATGATTCAGATTAACCCATTTAGACAGGGGTTTTTTATATAATTTAGATTCGTCTAATGCTCGTGTAGAACACTTTTCAAGTTTACTAAACCCCAAAATTCCTTGTTGTCACAAACTTGTATTTGCCAATATTTTATCAAATTCAAACCAATATAGTGGTTTGCTTAAAATGATACTCCACTTTGAGTCCCCTGTAAATAACTGCATAAATGACTGTTTGAATTGCTTCTTAGGAAATATGTCAAAATATATTTTGTAACAGCATATTCTCTAAATTTTGTTTAATCTTATAGCTATATACTTTTTTTTGTTAATTGGCTTATTAAGGGTATAGTAACTATTAGATGTAATTTTGGAGGTAAAGGCATTGAGTTGTTTGTCTCATCCTAACTTTCCTCACATGCATTGTTATTAACTGGTTTGGGCTTGAGCCTGAAGTATGTTATTCATATGCATGATCCCATTAAAATCATAGAATTGTTTAGGTTGGGAAAGACATTTAAGATCATCAAGTCCAACTGCTAACCTAGCACTGCTTTGTTCGTGTTAGCAGGGCTGGGCAGCCTTACATGTTTAGTCCTTGGTCATGCAGTTGAATCCCCATAGGTGCACCTTTGTTCCTGAGACAGAGTATAACACTGGTTCTGTTTAAGAAGTCTTGAGCTTAGTATAAATACAAAGCCCACACTGAGGGCTTCTCTAAAGAAAAATCATGTAGCTGTCTTACAATGCTTGTTTAGAATAAATACTTCACCATTTCCTGAGAATAAACTAATTTAAATGTAAGGTAATTTTTGAAATAATCTACAAAAAGGTAGAAAAAAAATTATCTTACTTTTAAAGCTCTGAAAGTAGAAAATGTGTTGCACCTCTCCTTAAAATTCATTTAAGGTTTACCATTAATTTCTTATAAATATCATCTCTTTAAGGGGTACTGCCTGCTGTTCATGCATGTGTGGTTTCCTTTGAAGTTTGTGAAATTTAGGATTCTCCTTGAGTAGGAGAATACATCTCTCAGTCCTTTGCACAACTGGAATCTCAGTTGCAAAAATACGTTGGCTGTTGGTTGCACCTTTGAGGAAAAAATTACAAATACTTCCTCCAGTTTTTCTTTTTATTTTAGAATTTTGCCTTTTTATTACTAACTTTAAGAACAGTGAGGTTTATGTTGTTTTAAGTTAGTGCTGTATTCAGTTTTGTATCTATAATGAATGTTTAAAATATACATATAGAAACTGGTCACATTATTCATTTTCTTGATCTTTCAGAGATACTGACGGAGACTAAAACTTTAAGGGCATCTCCACTTCCCAGGTTTTTATGGAAAGAATAAAATTTAGCATTATGTTCAGTATTGGATTGGGATTTCCTTCTAAACTCATCTGTTTATTTCTGTGTTCTTTTGCATTCATTGTCCATACAAAAAGGAAGTGGATAATAAAACATTGCTTTGTTTTACTAATTAAGACTTATATTTTCTGGGGTTTTCATATTTCATATTGAAAAATACACATTGCAATATTTGTGTCAACATGGAATTCTAGACAAATCACTTGGCAAATGAGTACTAACCAAGCCTCTCTACTTTTCATCTCATTTTATGCAACCAACTGTAAGGACGTTTCTTTTTAATGAATTGATACAACTGTGTGAAGCACCCAGTATTGATTAATTTTCTATGCTTGCTACTATCAACCAGTGCTATTTCCCAACTGTGTCAGTTTTCCCAAATTAAGTAGCAGTCGTCTGATGAAATTGTTTGCTCCACTGTTTTACAGAAAGCTTCATACAGGTACATGGTTTCATTGTGTTTTGTTATTTTTCTGGACTACTGGGGAAACCTTCTTATTTGGACAGAAAGAATATGTAGGGTTAAAAACATGCGCATGTTATATAATCCTTTGTAGTTGATGCAGCAGTTTGGTAGCCTGAAATCTCATCAGCAGGAAGAAGGGAATTGGGACACTGTTTTCAAAGACAGCAATCTATTCCAGATGTGTCAAATGCTGCATATTTTCCTTGCTATTTCCTGTGGTTTAGAGACACCTGGCCAGCGTTGCTTTGTGTCTTAGTTGGGGGGGAAGGGGGAATGGGCAACTCCTGTATCACAATGAAGTTGACTGTAAACAGATTTTGTATGAATGCAAATAAGACTTTGAAGTTTGGGGCAAAAACAGTTGGAGAAGGGAGGTGGGGAGAGAAACTGCCGTTTTATTCAAGCAACTGGTATGAACATAATTTCTTTAGTTTTGTCATCTACTTTATTCATGTGGACACCACAGGAAGATGGACAGCTTGAATATGATTCAAATAGCCTGTGACTCTCTTAATGCATTTCAGAACTGATCCATCGCTCACACTTCCACCCCTCTTATGGAGTGGAGGTTGTGACCAAGCTCTCACTTTGCTGTCTTACCTAGAGTACTGACACAGCCCTCATCCTGCAACACATTTTAACCTGGTTTCAACACCCTACTCTTTCTGGGTCTGCTTCTCTCCCTTTAAATGATGACAGCAGGTGAGAAAAAAGTGGTTTTATTAACATGCTGTCATAACATCAAAAAGCTTTTAATCTCTTTTCCGCTTTCTGAGAATGTTTTCCCATAGTACTGCACCTTAGTCTCTCCTGTGTGGCTGCTTGCGTTGTTCACTTCAACAGAAAGCTCATCTCATGAAATTAGTATTGCTTTCTTGACTTCTGAAGGGAAGATGAATCTCTGGTTTGGAAATAAATGTATCTCAATAAGGAAAAATATATTCCTATAATCATGCTAAAATGTGATTAGCATATCATAGAATCATATAATAGGGTTAGAAAGGACCTGTAGATCATCTAGTTGCAACCCCCCTGCCATGGGCAGGGACACCTCACACTAACCCATGTTACCCAAGGCTGTGTCCAACCTGGCCTTGAACATCACCAGGGATGGAGCATTCACAACTTCCCCTGGGCAGCCCATTCCAGTGCCTCACCACCCTCACAGTAAAGAACTTCCTCCTTATATCCAGTCTAAACTTTCCCTGTTTTAACCCGTTACCCCTTGTCCTGTCACTACAGTCCCTAATGAAGAGTACCTCCCCAGCATCCCTATAGGCCCCCTCCAGATACTGCAAGGCTGCCATTAGGTCTCCAAGCAGCCTTCTCTTCTCCAGGCTGAACAGCTCCAACTTCCTCAGCCTGTCTTCATACAGGAGGTGCTCCAGTCCCCTGATCATCCCCGTGGCCCTTCTCTGCACTTATTCCAACAGTTCCATGTCCTTTTTATGTTGAGGACACCAGAACTGCACACAATACTCCCAAGTGAAGTCTCATGAGAGCAGAGTGGAGGGGCAGGATCACCTCCTTCGACCTGCTGGTCACGCTGCTTTTGATGCAGCCCAGGATATGGTTGGCTTTCTGGGCTGCGAGCGCACACTGAAGCTGGCCCATGTTAATTTTCTCATCGACCAGCACCCTCAAGTCCTTCTCCGGAGGGCTGCTCTGAATCTCTTCTCTGCCCAACCTGTAGCTGTGCCTGGGATTGCTCCGACCCAGGTGTAGGACCTTGCACTTGTCATGGTTAAACCTCATGAGGTTGGCATCAGCCCACCTCACAAGCGTGTCAAGGTCCCTCTGGATGGCATTCCTTCCCTCCAGGGTATCAACCGAACCACACAGCTTGGTGTCATCGGCAAACTTGCTGAGGGCACACTCAATCCCACTGTCCATGTCAGGAGCAAAGATGTTAAACAAGACCGGTCCCAAGACCGATCTCTGAGGGACACCACTCATTACTGGTCTCCAGCCGGACATTGAGCAATTGACCACAACTGTTTGCGTGTGTCCATCCAGCCAGTTCTTTATCCACCGAGTGGTCCATCCATCAAATTGATGTCCCTCCAATTTAGAGACAAGGATGTCGTGTGGGACAGTGTCAAGCACTTTGCACAAGTCCAGGTAGATGACATCAACTGCTCTACCCCTGTCCGTCAGTTCTGTAGCCCCATCATAGAAGGCCACCAAATTGGTCAGGCAGGATTTCCCCTTAGTGAAGCCATGCTGGCTGTCACCAAGCACCTTGTTGTTCTTCATGTGCCTTAGCATGCCTTCCAGGAGAATCTGCTCCAAGATTTTGCCAGGCACAGAGGTGACACTGACTGATCTGTAATTCCCTGGGTCATCCATTTTCCCCTTCTTGAAAATGGGGGTTATATTTCCCTTTTTCTACTTGTCGGGAACTTCACCTGACTGCCATGATTTCTCAAATATGATGGCCATAGGCTTAGCAACTTCATTTGCCAGCTCCTTGAGGACCCGCAGATGGATTTCATCATGTCCCACGGATTTGTGAACATTCAGGTTCTTAAGATGATCTCGAACCAGATCCTGTCCTACAGCTGGCCCAAAGTCTTCATTCTCACAGTCCCTGTATCTGCCTTCCAAGACTTGGGTGGTGTAGTCAGAGCATTGGGCATAAGCTACCCCAAAACAGTAGAGCCCAGTGTACTGTTTGTCCTGTGTATGTTGTTCTCCACTGTCCCAAGACTCCACCTTTTTTTCTGATAATTATGAGGATAGTTTTACCATCTGTGTTTTTACTTGGCAAATCCTTTCCATTTCCACATCCCTTTTCCTTTCTCTGTGCACTTGCTGTGCATCCCACAAGGACAGGCAGAGGGCAGCTCTACTGCATGTTGTATGCAGTTAATAAATAAACCACCTGGCAATTATGAAGTTGCTTTTTTTTCCTTCGCTGCAATGATGGTTTATATTTTCATACCTCCCTATGTTACAGGTAAGCCAACTTTTTTAAATCTTTGACTTTCAGACAACTGGAAAATGCTTAAAATACACCTGCTATAAGTATTTTGTATGCAAGTGGAATTAAAGCAGCAGCAGAATATGGTTTAAGTATATTTTCATTTATCTCCCCAAATGCCTGCATGATCAACTTGAAACATTTCTCTGATACATAATTGTTCATAAAGTATTGCAAACAGTATCGGCTCCCCAGCTGTTGTTCTTTTTCTGTTTGTAAAATGGAAAGGTATATATTAAACAATCTTAAAATGTGTTGGTTCTTTCATCCTGAGGGATGGTTATGGTTATCCCCACGTTTTTTACATCTGTTCTTGTGGTCTTCACTCTTAATTTTTCTTGTGGTTAAAGAAACACTGTGTGGGGGTATCCTTAGTGTCATATGAGAAGTTGTTCATTGATTCATCATTATACATTGCTGCACAGATGCCCATCCTTCTTAATTTTCTAGGTTGGTGTAGTCCCATGACTTCCAAATCCCCGGTTTCACATGGACAGACTGCTGCTATAAATTGTTTATTAATAAAATAACTATAAGGTATACTTCACTTGGATGTGTTCATTAATTGAGACTTGTAGTTCAATGTAATTGCAGTAGCATTGCTGGGCTGCTGCTGTAGGAGTTGGGGTGTGCTTGCTTCTGGAGCCTGAAGTCTCAGGTGTATTTTTTGCATTAGTGGTGACCAGGTGTTTGAGCAAAGTCTGCAGGTCTTGCTGGTAGAAATGTTACTGGAATAAAGCCAGTGTTATTCATCATGTAATTGGTAACGTGAGCATTTGCGGGACCATTGCTTAGCTCTTCTTTGGTCTCTGACTGACTTCTAGTTAGTGAATTAATTTGACAGTATCTCTTGCAACTTTCACTGGAAGTTTTTATATGAATTTTCATCCTGGAGGACACCAAGCAATTTTTGATGCATCAGATCTACCTCTGTGCCTCTTGGAACAAGTATCTTCTGAAGCCAGCCCTATCAGTTCACTTCTCCATATACACAGACTGGTGGAAATAAATTCTGCAGATTAAATTGATAAGCGAAATACTACTATTTCTACCTGAAATGTGAATCACATCCCACTTAAAAGCTGTTACTTTGAGAATAGTCTTAACACTATGGTTAAGCAAAACAAGGAATTTTTATTGTAAGTAATTATTGGCAGCCAGTTGTAGTGTTACTGTACTTTGAATTTTCAAGTTTTGTTATTTTTTCCTGAGGAGTCAAAGTTTTGGGGTTTAGGTTTTGTTTTGGTTTTTTTTTGGTAGGAAAATCACAACACTCATTCTACTTCTGCTGGTTTTCGTTGTAACATGGGCATATGATAAATGCAAGAAACCCTGACAGCATAATCCTGTGATTAAAAAACGTTAAGTGTTATGCATTCAGAAACTTAAATGTTTCTGAATTCTGACTGAAAGCTGGTGTGATGTGTTGGACTTGGCAGGTTACGTATGGCTTGATCTTACTCCTTCTATGTAAGAATGGTGAGTGGTGCTACACTGTGGGCCCTGGCTGTGTCACGACTTCAAGATGAGAGTGCTGTGTATTAAGCAGAGATTCACTACTTTCACAGAGGAGGAGGAGTGCTTGGACCTTTAACTCTGGGTTTGCATCAGCTGGCATAGTCCATGTTTCTGGTGAGATGATGGGAGCACATCTGAGTGCAGT